GATGAAAATTAATAAATTCATGAGTTAAAAGATTAGATTTTCAGATTGTATAAAGTTTTACGCCTAAACCAAGAAGATTATCAATAAGTGAGAAAGATAGAGGTATTGTGTATGTCTGATGAGGGTAAGAAAGAGAGAAAGAATACCTAATGAACTCTGATCGTAGAAGATAAAAACATAGCAAATTTGTGGTGTAGATGGCAGATAAGGATTGAATGAAAGACAAAGAATGATAAAAACTTGCTTCATATTTTGGTTCCCGCCTCTTTGACCCGCCAAAATCAAATTTGGTTCACCAATTTCAGGAAAATCAAACTTCCCCTATCTCTATCTCGATCGCCTCTGCGGATTTTGCCTCATCAGATATGGTTTGTTTCCTTCAGTTTCGTTATTTCCTTGGTTGTAAAAAAATTCATCAAAAAATGCTAACAATTAGAGTTAATTACACTATTAGTCCCTCTATTTTGGCTATTATGTCATTTTAGTATTTGTAATTTCAATTGAATTGATTTTAACCTTGAATTTTAAATTTTGTCTCAAATTGATAGATTTTTTTTTATGACAAATGCAACCTGTCATCGTTTTGGGAGTAAAACAAAATACTGGTCAATTCAGTGACTTAACCTTAACCAATCCATTGAAAATTTTCTATTAAAGACCCTAAAGATGTTATGAATTCGAATAAATTGACGTAAAATCTAAAATTAACTGTCAAAAGTGACTCAATTAAAACTATATGGAAGAACAAAATGTAACGATTATTGATGTAATTTACCCAACAATTATAAACAATTGAAAGAAATTGAGATAAATCTGTAAACTCAGACTGAAAATTGAGTTAATTGAAAATACATGAACTAAAATTCATGAAACTTTATCATTGTACAGGAGAGCAATTTCAAATTTTATTTTTCCTGAAGTCATATAAAGCCGTTGATCAATTTTGTACATGTGGCAAGTACAGCTAAAAAAATATGTTATATTGAGCTTGATTTATTTATTTTTATTCATTTTGAGCATTTTTAAAATTGTGAAAATATATTAGCATTTTTTGTTTTTTTCAAAAATGCCATTATAAGCTTGGAAAGTTTGACTTAGTAGCATTTCTCAAAATGTTATAAAATATTTGTTTATGACACTTTTCACCTAATGCCATAAAAAGTAACTTACACCTACCTAGTGTAGTGACAGTTTTTAAAAAATGTCATTACTACTAAAGTTTAGTGGCATCTGTTGATAAATGTCACGAACATAATTTCTTGTGTCATTCTTTTTATAAAATGCCATAAAATTGTTGTGACATTTTTTTTATTGAAATGTCACTACAGCCTTATATATTTGTGGTTCTGTGGCATTTTTCTAAAACATGTCACCAAATTTTATTTTTGTGACATTTTCAAAAAACATGCCACTAGTGTAGTGTTACTAAAGTGTGTTTTTTGTTGTAGTAACATTTTTGTTGTAGTTAAGTGACACTTTTTTTAATTGAAATGCCGCTAGAGCCTTGTGTATTTGTGGCTCTGTGATATTTTTCTAAAATATGCCACCAAATAGTCTGTTTGTGACATTTTTTAATAACATGCCACTAGCAGGGGGGGTTTTGGAAGAGGAAAAAAAATTGAAGAGTTTGAGTCTCGCAACAAAATAAATTTTTAATTTTTAATTTTGTCAATTTAAATTTCAATCTTTTGATTTTGTTTCAATATAAATTATTCGTCTATTTTTGTTAAATAATATTTAGTTATTAAACTCAATGAAAATGGGTATTTTAGATTTTTCATACACTTATATTGAGTTTAATAACTAAAATATACATTTTCAAAAAAATTTACTTAATAAAAATATTCAAATGGTTTAAATTAAAAACAAATCAAAAAATTAAAATTTAAGATTTATTTTGTTATAAAGTTCAAATCTTGAATTTTTTTTTTCTTTAATTTCTTGTTTCTTTCTTTACTCATTTTTTCACTCCCAGACACGAGACAATATGACTCACATTAATTTATATAATAAAATAGATCAACTTTTGAAATTGTATTTTATAGTATAATTGAGAATTAAGATTAAATAAATCGAACAAATAATGTAGTTTACCAAATAATAAAGAGCCTTCACGCATTGATAATTTTATGGGTCCTGCTACGTTTCATGAAAACTGTCATGAAAATCATCTGCATCGTTGGATCATGAGACACATACCTAATCTAACGGTGTAGATGGCTTTCATGACAGTTTTCATGAAAATTCTTCATGACACCTAGCATTTCCCTAATTTTATTAGTAAACACATATAGACTCACTCGATGTGGTAGAGTTGAGAAAATGCGAAATGAAATAAATTATATATGACATTCAAGGTGATTTAAAATGAATTTTGTATGAATAAAATTTTGCATATGATTTGTGAGGACATAATTTTCATCTTAACCTCGTGGTTTGGCCATTAGCCGATGTGTCACGGGCCGGAGTGTTATTGGTAGGTAGGTTCCGAATCCGAAATTTTGAGATTTCCTTTTGTTGGAGGAAATTATGATTTTACTAACTTGCTAAGAATATGGAAAGATGTGATGAAAAAAAAAAAGTAGTAGTAGAAAGAGTGATATATGATAATTTATACAAAAATGAAATATTTTAGTAATCTTTTAATTTTTTACGAAAAAAATATGTAAAAAATAGAGAGAGTGGTATAATAACTTATAGTGATTTTTTGACAAAAATGTTTAGTTTCCAAACGAGGTCTAAAGATACATAGTGTTGACTTTAATATATTAAGGTTCTGTTTATTTTAACGTAAAATATTTTTGTCAAAAATATATTACTCATTTTTTGCTGTTTGGTTGAACAAACAGTAAGTAAAACATTTTTTAAGAAAAATATTTTTTTTATCATTTTCTCAAAAATGACTTACTTTTAAAAATTTCGCAAGTCAAAAGTTGACTCTCAGTCACTACCTTTTAAACACAATTAGCATTTTCAAATAAATATCTTAACTCACTAAAAAGTTATAAATAATATTTTATTAAATCAAAATTTCTCTTTTAGATAATAAAATATTTTGGTTGAGTATCCCACACAGGATGGGCTCTGATGGAGGTATAGAGAGAGAGAGAGAGAGAGAGAGAGAGAGAGAGAGAGAGAGATTTTCTTCGATTTACAAAGAGTGGGTGGGAAATGAAGAAATCTCAACCGTTGAAGTTTAGATGGGACAATCTGACCCATTGATACAAAATGTATCTCTTAGACATTTTATGACATTTTCAAAAACTCTTGTGCCATATTATATAGATATATATATATATATATATCAGCAATAAATTTTATCAGTTCTATAAATGAAATTATAAATATTTTGTGATAATACCACTTCTTTGCAATTTTCTCAAATCATATCTAAGCCTGCTGGTGGGCTTAGCCAGAGCACCAAGGATCCTCTAGAGTGAAATTTCCTTAAAGTTTCCTAGAGTGTTACATTATGTGGTTGAGATTTACTGGCAAGTCACATCAATTTTTCTGATGTGACTTGCCAGTAAATCTTAACCACACAATGTAGCACTCTAGGAAACTTTAGGAAAAAATCACTCTAGAGGATCCCTGCTCTAGCCAGAGGGCGCAATAAGCAAAACCCTAAAAAGTGAGCTAACGAGCCAGGGTTAGTGGGCCTAAGTTTTGGCTTTTATTCCGTGCATACATCAAATTACATAAGTTTAGTTTGAGATATAGGTTAACTTTTTTATTTTTTTAGTTATTTTAACTTAGAGTTAAGAAATTTCGTTTGGGATTGATTTTTTAACTTTTTTAATTTTTATGAGAAAAAAAATAATTATAATTTCGATGTGATATTTTATTTTATTGATTTTTTAATATATTTTACCTTTTTATAACCATTTTAAACTCCCAATCTCATTTTAACCTATGCCAAATGAAAGCATAATGTGAGATTTATATATGAGACTCATTTCATATGAGATATATATGTCTCATTTTATATTTAATGTGTGCCCCTAGACTTAATATTTTAAGGTAAATTACGAACACATTTCATGAGATTTACTTAAATTATAAATTATTTTACGTGGTTCTAGAAATTACATTATGCCCTTTAAAGTTTCTAATTTCATAACAAATATATCATTTTATTAATAAATCATCAAGTTAATTAACAATTTTTAATAATGTTAAAATTTTGTTTCAATTAATAATTCAGATAATTATATTATCACATAGGTGAAATGTTAGAAATTTCACTTTTTTGATTAATTCTGTTAAATAAAATTTTATGATAATCAAATATTTGTAATTTTTTAAATTATTGAAGGCAATTTATATTTTAAGCAGTTCTCAAAAATGTATTTATAATTTACTTAATATTTTATTTTTGCTAGAGAGTTGATTAACCATTTTTGCTAGCGTTGAGAGTTGATTAGCCGTCATCAATATTAGCCGTTGAGGGTTGATCAATCGTCATCAATATAGCCGTTGAGCGCCTTACTTACCGTTGCGGAAAGTACTCACCTAAGTTTTGGTTACTTTGAACGTAGTGCTGGTAATTTTTATGGGATTTTTATTGATAAATCCAATTTAGAAGTGTTTTAATCCAAGAAGTCTATGAATGAATTTTTTAACCCATTTAGTCCCATGTATGTATAGTTTAATTCCATAAAGTCCATTTTCTTGATTTACACTATTTTCTTGGACACTTATGCCCTTATATTTAATTTTGATACCCTTATAAATATTTTTTCAACGATTAGCAATTTAATGATGTGAACATTCATATTTTAAAATTCACATTTGTAGGAATGTAAATTGGCCCGTAGGCGGCCCGAAACCCGTCCGCGAGCCAGGGCGGGCCAGGCCCGTTGACAATGTGAATATTAACCCCTTCCGGTTCGAAAGCCTAACCCGCCTAAATTGCTCAAACTGTTGGTTTGAAACTTTCAAATATTAAACCAACGTATTGATTTTGATTATGGGTAGGTTGGTGGCTGGTTGAAAAATACTTAATTCGTTGAGGGTGATTCATAAGTCCCCTCTTGTGCCTACACCCAATGAAAGTATGAAACTATAATCGCATCATTCTTCAATGGCAGTTCGCCGTCCATTCACCTCCAATAGTTGGGTACACCTCTTGTCTCCATAGGATTAATCTATCTCGACAATCGATGTCCTCATTAACTATTGTGTTTCTTCCATTGTGAGTCTCGCCTTTGTTTTGATCCATCTTCACCTCTCAACTGTGAGTTAAATATATATAGGTTTGGGTATGTAGTGTGGAGGCAATGATTGAATGTTTTTGGGTGTTGGTATAAAATATATATATATATATATGATTTTGCCATTTGTTTTTTGGTTTCCATACCATATACATATCATTTATGTGCATTTTTTTTTAAAAAAAGCTTTGCCTTTTTATATGATATCAACTATTTTTTGAGTGTTGATATAACAGACTCTGTGTTTTGTTTCTGACTTTTACTATTTGTTTTTTAATTTATCTACCATATTCATATCATGGCTTTGCAATTTTTATTTTATTTAGGTAAATTACATTTACCTCCCCTGAGGTTTAACATAATTACAGGTACCTCCCTTGTAGTTTGAAAAATTATTCTAACCTCCCTTACTTTTGAAACTAATATCAAGATTTCCCCTTGGGTTAACTTTGGCTCAAACAATATTGATAATAAAATGACTAATTTACCCTCGGTTCTTCTTCATTTATTTTGCAGCCACAATTTTTTTTATTTTTTTTAAACATAATTCAGCAACCATAGATCACTACCCATCTTCTCTCTCTTTTTTCTTCTATAGCTATAGCAAGAATTGTAACTGATCAACTCAAAGACTAAAAAGCCCCAAAATTTACTCTAAGAATGGGGGAATTTATTTGTGTGTATATATATGTGTGTTGAATTGTTGATGAGGTTTGGAGAATTTATTTGACAATGGAATTGGATTATGCATTGGTTGTTATCAATAACCCTACCTATGAATTGTTGAGGAGAAAGAGGGTAGAAAGAGTTTCTATAAAGAGAGATAGTGTAGAAAAACATATGAAAAAAAAAAGAAAAAGAAAAATAGAATATATATGTTGTTAGAATTTACCATCACCTACCACCACTACCACCTCACCTACTCCACTAAACCTAACCCACTACACCACTACCACCTCACATACTCCACTACACCTAACCCACTACACCACTACCACCATCCACTACACCTACATCTATATAAGGAACCATTTGTAATAGACAATATACAATAACATTATATCAATCAATAATACATAAATTGTTACATGGTATCAGAGCTAGGTTGAGAACCTAGTATTTTCGCTTCATCGGCGGGGGGGGGGGGGGGGACACTAAACAGTCGACCGACGATCTACTACACTGAACGGCGATTGGCTCACGAAGCTCATTCTTCTCAGCCTTCAACTCTTTAATCTTCTCCTGCAGAGTCAAGTTTGAATCCTTCAACTTTTGAGCATCACCCCTTAACTGTATCACCAGTCGAATAGCTTCAACCAAAATCGCAGCCTTGTCTGTTTTGGGTGGCCTCCCAGGCTCAAGGATAGAACCCAATTCCACAAACTTGTCATTTAGCCTATCCCTCCGCAACTTCTCTCGGCATGCTTTGGAACTTGATGATGCTCCACACAATTCGGGTCTTGGCCTCTTTTTCGAGCCAGTTTCCTTGCGACTGTCTGAATCCCCAAAGGAGCCATCAATTTCCAAACCGACGTTGGAAGAAGCGTTTAAGGGCCAGCAAAACCCAGAAGTGGGAGCGGAGAAATTGGGATCAGGGACAGAGATGTCCTCAATCAAGCCGTAATCGAAGAGCCAATTAGTGTGCTCCGGCGAAACCATGTCCGATAAGTCGCCGGAAAGTTCAATAATTTTCCAGCGCATTGATGCAGTAGCTAAAATACCAGATTCTTCCATGACCTCAGCTTTTGCATGAGCTATCTCTTGAAGTTCATAAGGGAACAATGAGTTGGACCTCTGCTGGATGGTTTTCACAGCATGATGCGCAGCATCATGAACCTAAGATGAAGAGGAATCCTCGTAAAGTTAAGTGGACCAAGGCTTATAGGAGACTGCATGGAAAGGATATGACACAGGATTCAACCTTTGAGTTTGAGAGGAAGCGAAATAGGCCGGAGAGATATGACAGAAACCAGACATCATGAAAATAGGTTTAAGGAAAAGAGATCCAAGGAACCGAAGGAGGCAGCAAAGGAGCTCAAGCAGAGCATCGACATGATCAGGGCTCCTGCAGCCCTCCAACCGGAACCTTCTCTTATTTTACCGAAGACAGTCATGGTTTCTTCTCAGCAATCAGAGGAAAATCGCATGGAGGAGTGATCTTTGCTTCGTCTTTATGTGGAGGCAAAAGCTTTTTTATTCCTGGTTTCTTTACATTTAGAACCCGGTAATTAAATAGCTATTGATAATTTTCAGATTCCTACACACACACCCACGGGTGACCACTTTCCAACCCCTTTACACCCAGCCGATTCCTACACACACACCCATTGGCGGAGGGGGGAGACGGTTTCTCTCTCTAAAGACTCACCCACTCATCTTTTTCGAATCTCTCCCTCACTTTCTTTTTCTTTTCTATTATTAGATACAACTACCACCGCTGGGACTAATATCGCAACAGAGAAGCAGAACAACAAGATAGACCTCTCAACTTTCATTTCATTGTGTTAGTGACTTCCAGCACAGCAAAGCTTCCCACTTTCTTTTCTTTGTTTTTATATTCTTTTCAAAAACATCCTCAATTGCCCCACTTTCTTTGTTTTTATATTTATTTTTCTCCATTGTTTTTTTTTTGAACAGCAACCGCCCACTTTATTTTTTTCATCAAATTTTATTTTTTATTCTAAACCTTGATTGATACTCTCAGACATCATATTGTTCCCCACTTTTTTTTTTATATATCTATATTTTATTAAACAAGCAAAAAAAAAAAAAAAAAAAAAAAAATTATTAAAAAAAATAAATAAATAAATAAATAAATAAATAAATCAAACCATTTACAACTTTGCCAAACACCCGTATTTTATTCCTTTCCGGGCTCCACTCCGATCATAATTTTACACAAAAAAAAAAAATCATTTTACACAAAAAAAACATACAAACAAAACATCCACACCCACAGTGGAATTTTTCTTTTCCCTTCTCTATTCTACTGCAGGTCTCTTCTTCTTACTTTTATCTTGGGTGTCCCGTGCCAGTCCGGTCTCCGTGTTTCCTTGTCCACCGAGCACGTTCACTCCCCCATACTCCTCCACTGCAGCATACGGCGGACTTCCAAATCGGAACATCACGGTGGCCTTCCGTTTCAGCTCCTTGTTTTCCGCTTTCAGCACGCTTATCTCTGCTCGCGCATCCTTATACATGCGCTGGAGCAGAGCCAGTTGGGCGTTTAAATGTTGCACCTCATTTGTCCTGCTCTGCAGCCGGTTCGACAAATTTGTGACCGCCGTCATGCTTTCCACACATGCCTTCAGAGTATACTGATTAGCCTCCACATCCGTTTGTACTGCCATTTTTTGCTCCACCGACTGCATCGGAAAGTTCAACGGAGCAAACCCCATGGTGTTTGGTTGAGGTTCACGGGACACCGCACCAGTTCTCTCTCCTGTGGACTCGTTGAGATCGGGAAAGAGAGTGAGCAGCCCACGGGACGACGAAGCCATTTTCTGGGCAACAGCAACAGAGTGTTACAGCCTATCTCTCTAGCAAAACGACCTCTCTTTCTCAGCAAAATGAAGAAGTTTTCAGAGGTTTCTCTCAGTTTTCTGTCTCAGTTTCTGCCTCCTCCGCTTCGGTTTATAACGACCATGACACAGAGCCAGCCACGCGCATCGCGCGCCTTTTGACACCGACAACCTGGCACGCCTTTTGATGGCACGCCTTTTCATGACTCGGGCACGTCTTTTGATGGCACGCCTTTTGATGACACACCTTTTGAGGGCACGACTTTTGAGGGCTCGATATCTACATCCATGTATATCTTTTGGGCAGCCTATATACACACTCATACAGTGTCTTCTACACCGGTCACCTTTATCAATCCCTTTGTTTCAACCTCAAATAGGTTTCTATCTTCACACCTATTTGAGTTTGAGGGGGGGTTATACACAGTATCATGTATAAGTCGCTCATGGCGCACTCCCTAAGTCGCCCCCTTGGTGCACCACCACAATTCTTCTACAACGGTCCGACATGACCCCATAAACTGTCTGCTACAACGGTCCAACGTGACCCCATAAACTGTCCCGACATTGATTCCGGTCAGCTTCTACAATGGTCCAACATGACCCCATAAACTGTTTTCTACAACGGTCTGACACGACCACACAGTGTCTGCTACAACGGTCCGACATGACCCCGTAAACTGTCTGCCACAACGGTCCGACATGACCCCATAAACTGTCTGCTACATCGGTCTGACACGACCATACCGTGTCTCCTATCCTGTTTTATTTATCAGTTTATTTTTCTGTTTTGTGACTCTCTCCAAACTCAAGTTGGCTAGTGCCTATCCTCCTTGAGTTTGAGGGGGGCTGTTAATGTAAATTGTATTAACCTACCACTACCACCTACCACACACACTCACCTCCTCACCTAACCTACCACTACCACCTCCACTTCACTCCACCTACCACCTACACCTACTACCACATTTTCTTCTATATATAGGAATTGTAAATACATCAATCAAACACATCAATCAATAATATATATCAATTTATTTTACACATCCCAATTAATCTCAGCTTCACCCCTTTACACCCACCTACTGTTAGGATCACCCCCATTGTTGGAGCCATTTTCAGCACCCTTTTCATGTAATCCCCTCACTACCGCTACCACCTCTACAACCTCACCACCTTTGTCCCTTTGTTACCCTCTTCAATTGGTAGCTACGTCCTCCACTGTTGCCGCCTCAAATCTAGGCTTTTCAGAGGAGTAAAAAAAAGAAGAAAAAGAAAAAGAAGAGGAATGGAAAGGAGGGTTTGCAATGGGAGGAGGTAGTAGAGGAAGGATCGCAGGGCAATAAAATTAAAAAAAAAAAAGAACAAGAAAAAGGAGGTGTTGGCGAAGATGGAGAGGCTGCGAAACAGAATGTAACGTCCCGAAATAAACACAATATACCAATTTCATAACAACTAATAAATAGTTACATAAATGAGTTGATAAGCTTTCATTAATTAAAATTTAATATACAAAAGGTGACACATGCGATATGCACTCAGAAACAGTACATCCTGAATTTACAGCATATGCTACAAGAATGTGAAAAGAATTGAAAACTAAACAAATAATTAATATACTCTAAAGGCTTACATCTTTGCAAGTCAATGCTTTAGTACATCAAAAGTGAGTCTTAAGCTCAATACAGATAAAGTCCTAGGCTTGTACAAAATTAAATACAAAATAACAACACTGAGCTTTTAGCCCCACAGTCCTCCCAAGCTAAGCCTTTAGTGGAGGCATATCCTCAGCACCTGAAAATAGTTTTCCCACATAGGGTGAGCTAAAGGCTAGTAGAAATACTATAACATAACATATAAATCTTAACAAAGCCATAAGGTTTTATGCATATGCAATGTCGGTACCAAAGCATTTATGACCATTTTCAAAAGTCATGCTATGCTAGGTTTATATCACAATTCTCAAAACCATGCCTTTTACAATAGAAAACATGAGGAAATCTCAAACCAGTACAACCTATCATGGATATTTTGTCCGCAGAAAACTGTCAAACGGCACCTATATAAACGTAGCATATACAAGTGCTACTATTGCCACTTTACGGATATTTCGCCCACAGGAATTGATACACATGTATACGCACATTTTTTGGGACTTTCACCCTGGGCACACAAGCCAACTTGATTTGGTGATACACACATCTTTCCCACGTTCACCCATTTTTCTCAAAATCATATACATTTTCAATATATTAAATGAGCAACAATGTTCAATGTACATAGATGAGAAATTAGTTTTAATTCACCTAATTCCCATGCAATTTCTGCAACACTCAAAGCTATCTTCCACCGATAGCCCAAAACAGATATCTCTAAATAGATAAATAAATTTCATTAAAGATACACTTTTCCAAAATCTCAAGATGTGAGTGATAATATATATCCAACTCCGTCATCATCATCAACATTATTTCAATTTCATAATTCTCAACATCAATTCAATTTTCTCTTTACAATCTCAAGCATTCACATTTTAAAGCAAAATCCCTTTCTCTTTGAAAATTAATTTCAATGTAGGAAATACCTTATTTCAACATATATCAACCCCAATTTCATGCCCACAAGCTTTTCCAAGAAACCATTTGAAAACCTCTCTTTTGCATTTTGATTTCAAACCCTAAGTTTTTAACAAAAACCCCAAACCACTATAATCTTTTGAAATAGAAAATAACTAACGTAAAACTCATACAAGAGTGAAGAATCCCTATCTCAGGCTTAGAAGACGAGAGAGAGAGAGAGAGAGTGAAGAAACTTTAACAACGCTGAAACCCCACTTTGTTCGAATAAAAATAAAACTCTAAGTGAGCTTTACCTTTTCACAAAGGGAATAGGGTAGAGAAATCAATAGATCTAGGTGTTTTAGAAGAGAGAATGTGAATTTTAAAGAGAGAGTGTGTGTAGATCTAGGGTTTTTAGAAAGTTTAGAGAGAGAGAGAGAAATGAAAAAGTGACTTAGAAAAGTGATTTTACAATATAATATATGCGCAGACAACTAGAGCGCAAGAAAGCGACGCTTGAGCGTAAGACACAAAAGATGTGACCGCTCGAGCGCAAGAAGTTGTCGCTCAAGCGTAAAATACTGTAATACCCCTGTTCCGTTATATGTTAATTGGTCCTTAACATGATGTGATTATGTATTTTGATATGATTTTGTGTTCCACTATATGA